TATATATATATATATATATATATATTTGTGTGTGTATCTTTCTTTCTCTATTGGTCTCTCTGTGTGTATATGTGTGTAGATATATCTATCCATACATGAAGGTTAATGTGGACCCCCTTTTCTCTCTCTTATCTTTCTATCTAAATATCTTTATCACTTTTTATCTATATCTATATCACTCTTTCTCTCTTTTTTTTTGTTTTTGTTTTTTCTCTCTCTATTGGTCTGTGTATATATGTGTTCCTCCTTATATCTATATGCATGTATGTAAACAAGAACGAAAAATCCCGGATTCTAACTGGCAATCAGCGTAGATATTTTTCTTTATATATACATGCGTGTATTGATTTTTTTTTTTGTTTATTCATCCATTCATTCATTTATCTATCTATTTATCTATTTATCTATTTATATGTATACATTCATTCATTCATTCATACATATCTACTTACATCAAAGGAGTGTGGATTAAAAAAAAAACAAAAAAAATGATCGTTGGAGGGAAAAAAAGACGGCGTGATCGTTCTTCTTTTTTTTCTTCTTTATTCCTTTACTTTTCCATGTCTGGCCGTATATATATATGTATGTATGTATGAATATATGTATATAATGTATTTAACATTTCTGTTTTATTTGCTGTTATTGTTATCATTATTATCATTATTATTGGTTTTGATTGATTTGATTGATGTTATTATTATTATTTGCGTTTCTTTGTTTTTTTTTGATCTTCAGACATACATCAATATATATATATATATATATATATACATTTTACATTTCACTACAAGCACTCTCTTTCTCTCTTTCTGTTCAGGAGGTGTTTGTCTGTGTAGATGTATGTAAGTATGTATGTATCTGTTTGGTGTATTCAGGGACTGGTGTTTTTTTTTTGATTTTTGTTTATTTTGATTTCATTAATTTTTGATCGTTGGGCTTATTTGTTTGTTTCTGGGAATAGTATATATATATATATATATATTTGTCTATCTATATATGTACATATACGTATATAGATAGACAGATAGGTAGATAGATATAGATAGAAAAACAAAGAGGTGGAGAGAAGAAGAAAGAGTAAAGAAGTGAAATAAAAAGGCATTTTGAGACTATTCCTTTTTATATCTATTTATATATATATATATATATATACTTACTATTCCTGTTTCTTTTTCCTTTTATATATATATATTGATATTTCTTTTTTTCTTTCTAATTAATGTGAGGGATATATATATATATATATATTTGGATTCTACGTATGAGAATACCAATTACACCCCCACACCCAGACACACAATTCATACATAAATTGTTTATTTCTCTTTACAGTCGGTTTGACCATTAATAATTCTTTTCTTTTCTCTTTCTTTTTCTTTTTCTCTCTTTGGCCAGTGAAGCCAGGAGATAGAGGGATAGAGAGAGAAAGAAAGAAAGAGACTGTTTTTTTTTCTCAATTTTGTTTATTTTTGTTTGTTTTGTTTTTTTTTCTCTTTTCTCATTTACATTCAAATAAAAGAAAACATATGACGGCAATTACATATATATAAATATATAAATAAGCATATATTGCTATTTATTAACATATATCTATCTATTTACATATATATATATATATATACCTAGATATGGACATATATATCTATCTATTTCTATTTCTTTATTTACATATATATATCTCTTTCTTTACATATATATCTATTTAACATCCATGAGGATATACATATATATATACATATCTATTTATATATACCTATATACATATCTATTTATTTATATATATATCTATTTATTTATTTTTCTCTGTTCTTCCATATCTTTTTTCTGACGTCTCTTTACATACACTGCCAAATGCCAATATTAATATTATTATTAATAATAATGAATAAAAGGAAAGAAATTAAATTAATAAACACAAAAACAAACTTCTTTTGCTTTCAAAGTGCTTTTCCTTTTTTTTTTTTTACTGTTCCTATTTTTCTAATTCCCTCTATTTAACACCCTTTGGGTTTTCTTTTCTTTGCTTTTTTTAAAAATGTTTATCATGACTCTCTGTCTCTCTATCTGTGCGTGTGGATACACCTATCTATTTATCTATATATCTATCTATTTATTGGTTTGTGAGAGAGAGAGGGGAAGTCTATATATATATATAAGAAGAAGACCCCCACCTGGGAAGCAAAGAGGGAAAAAAGAAAGAAAAGTAAATGAGTAAGTAATTATTATTATTATTAGTAATAAAAACAAAAATGAAAGGAAGGGGGAATATAAAAAGAAAATAGAAATGAAGAAGAAGAAGAAGAATAAAGTAAAAAAAAAAAGGTTTTAATTCTCATTTCGCATGGTAAATATGACTATTACTTTTGCGCTTATTATTATTATTGTTGTTATTATTATTTTACTTTCTTATCACGTTTTTTGGTATTATTTATCTTTCAACGTGCTGGGTTTATGTGTGGATTTGGTCACTGTATAGACATATCTATCTATATCTATATATCTATATATATATATATATATATATATGTACATGTCTGTCGGAGTCTGTGTTTATGCATCTACCCTTAAGAAGAAGCAAATAAAACAAACAATACTTCTGTTTATTGTTAATATATATATATACTTTACTTTAATATATGTAGCTTTAATTTATATCTATATAAATATATGTATATTACTCTTCTTTTTCTTTTGTTGTTCTTCTCTTCGGTCTCACCTCGTAAAAAAGGATCTCTACCTGCAGTGGCAGGAAAGGAAATAGTAGACACATACATATATATATATAATAATAGGAAAAGGAAAGAAAAGAGGGAAAGAGAAGAGAAAACTCAAATACTCCACAGTTTAAACCACATAGAATAGTAAAAAAAAAAAAAAAGATCAAAGTAATTTTTCTTTTTTCTTTTCTCTTTCCGTTTCTTCACACTATCGACCTGAAAGCGAAAAAGAAAGAAAAATAAAAGAGAGAGAGATACACAGAGAGAGAGAGAGAGAGAGAAAAAAAAAAAGAAAGAAAAGTAAACTTAAAGGGGGAATACACTAGAAGAAAAAAAAAAAAGAAAAAAAAAGTATCCCTTACCCGTTATCATCATAAACAATGAGTGCTGCCAACGTAGATACCCATCCAGATACCAACAACACCAATCCCAATAATAATAATAATAATAATAATAATAATAATAATAATAATAATAATAATAATAATAAAGATAATAAAGATAATAAAGATAAAGATAATAATAATAATATCGCTGCGGAGGGTTTATTAAACCGCATCTTCACACCCAGCTGTGCCAAGTGCGGTGTTGTCTATCCCACGCCGTATATAAAACTGCCGCCCAGGCGCTGGGAATGTCTCTCGAAGGGCTGCGGCGGTAAACTCTGGCAACCCGATGAGAGTTCACATGTCTGTGATGTCTGCGGAACTGCCGTGGGCCGATTTACTCGCCATCACTGTAGACGATGTGGATATCTCACCTGTGCGGCTTGTCTCACCTTCACGACTGTTTTCCCTGCGTGGTCGTTAACAGAGAAACAGCGGGTTTGTTGTCGCTGTGGTGTGCCGACGGTGCCGGTGCGTATTTCCGGTTGGTTGTTAAAACTTGGACAACGATCGGTGTTCTTTGGGGAAAAGATGCAGGCACGTTTCTTTGAATTGCGTGGGACTCTCTTATTGTTTGGAAAGAAACAGCAAGAGATGGAAGAGAGCATGCGAAGAAGAAGAAGAAAAGGAGAAAAACAAGAAGAGGGAGAATTGGAGGATGGAGATAATATCTCTAACTCCAGTCATACCCCTTTCAATGCTACCACCTCTTCTTCTACTAATATGGATAATAATAATACTACTATTAATACGGATCTCAATAACAATAACAACAATATCAATATCAATAGTAGTAGTAGTCCTAGTAGTCCTATAATGATAGAAACAGAAAATAAACATCGTCTTCTTCACCGAGAGGCCAACACTGCCGCTGCAGTTCCTCATTCCACTTTAAGAGGATTTATAGACATCACTGGAGCTAAAGTGATGGATGTGGCCATTCACCCAAATGCGTTTTGTATTGTTGGTCCACGTCTCGCCCGCGGCCACGTCTTCTCCGCCCCAACACTCGCAGAAAAGACAAGATGGGTGGAGGCCATTAAAGAACAAGTCGCACAGGC